AGTTTCAGAGTACATCTGCCTGAGAGGCAAGGAATCAGCAGTCTGCATACAGATAAATCAGACCTGTAAAACGGATGTGCACACAACACTCAGTTTCTGGAACAGGTCTATAATTCAGAAGTGGATGAACAATAAGAACTTTCCGCTGGAGTTTAAAGCCGGTGAACGCAAGAAGATTATTTTGACGTTGTTTGATTGCGAAATTTGTCCCTTCTTGCCACTTGGACCACCTTTCTCAGATATCATTTCTGAGGCAAGCTGGTTTCTATGAGCTGTTGTGATTGCTCATGACTTGCATCCGTAGGTCTTGCCATTTTATCTTTTGCTAAGAAACCCTCAGTTGATGGCCTGGAAAAGTCTTCCAGCGGCTGCTTTTTAAGTAGCCAGCTCTGTCTTAATGTCTCCATTTCGATCTATTACAACTCCAAAATATTTGAACTGGCTAACTTGTTCCAATGCTTACTGTCCCATCATGATCTGGTGTTTCCTTGTCCTCTCTTGAGATAACCTGGGTTTGTTTTGGGGATACCAATGGTCATCCCTCTCTTCCTTCCAGACAAGTATGCTGGACTGAAGATGTGCCTCTGATTTCTATCCTGATATATGGAAGTGAATCATGGACAGTTGCTCAATTAGTGAAAAATTATTAGTAGGCTGTGAAGATGCAGTTTCACTGATGGATGATAAGAATACCCTGGACAGATTAAAAGGCTAAAAAGCTACTGGCACCATTAGTATCGGAACTCTTCGCTGGCTGCTGAAAATGGGGACAGAGCGCTTATGGGAATACCCCGAGTGCTGTGATGTCGGTTCTTGAATCAAATCATAAAAGGCTAATAGTCTTGAAAGAAAATGACTCAAAAACTGATTACTCACATCAGAATCTTTGGTCATGTCGTGAGAAGCGGAAAACAGGAGTACCTTGTGGAAGTGGGAAAGCTGGAGGGTAAGGGAGATGGAGAGAGAAGATACTGTAGTTTCTCACTATGGCACTCAGCATTCGAGGAAAAGGCTAGACGGATGTACAGTCGGACAGTTACTGGCACCATCAGGATTGGAACTTATTTGCTGCTGAAGATGGGGATGGAGTGTCCTGAGTCCTATGATTTTGATTCTTAGTTCAACATTCATTCACTATGGCATGGAAGATCATCAGTGTCAGAATTGATTGAAAGTACACGAGACAGAAGGTTGTGCATAGATATGACTACCAACACCACGCAGCATATGCTATAAGAAGATGAGAAATACATACTTTTGGTAAGGAACACATTTTCTGGAGTATAGTGGCAAGCCTGTTTTCTGAGGGGAATCTTTTGGAAAGGAACAGCAATAAGTGGAATAATGAAGTAGGCGCACACACATTTATTTTAGCCTTCTTTCTTTCTCAGGTGGTGGAATGGATTTCTCCTCTTCTCTACTGCTGGAATGCCTCACAGCATCAGGGCAGGAAGAGACCTCTGAAACAGGCCCTTCTGTGTGCTTCATATACAGTACTTTTCCGTGTGTGATATTTCTGAGGATTTTTTGTGTGGTCAAATTCTGAATCTGTTACGGCTATATCTGTATACAATGCTCTCTGTGGTGTCCTGTCTGTTGCCAATCTTTTCACATGGCCAAACTGTTTGATCTTTTGTCGAAAGTTTGGTACTGACCCCTACTAACATAGTTTCTGAGTCGATATTAAAGGAATTGCGCAGAACAGAGCTGAATGCACTGAATGGAGGAATAGACGGGAAGCCCTATATGATGTATAATAGCACAACACGATAATGATAATATCCTAGACAATTTTCGCGTGCAAAAAAATAATTAGTAGAAACAAATTAAAATCAATCAGTCATTTAATGTTTTTTCCCAACAAACTGTAACATGTGAACTTTTACTTTTACACAGATACATTTAATCTTCTATAGCAAGTCAACAAACACCCTTTTTTTGCATCAGGCTCATGATTTGTATTGACCGATCAGCGTTAGACTTGATGAACATCAGCGGCTGCCTTTAATTGCCAGGACATTACATGGTACCCATTTTGGGGTTCAGCTGACCTGGAGCCAAGACAGTTTTTGAAAAAAAAAAAAAAAATGCCACAATGTAGATCGGAACTCAAGCCTTGACCGCAGGTAAGCAACCAACTGTTTGGCTCTCAACCTTCTATAGCAGATGGATACACATAACCAGTGTGTGTGGTATAGGTGCTTCTAACTCCCCAACAGTTCCAGCAGTACGAAACGAGTACATGGAATGACTGATTACTGACAAGAATGCTTAGTAAGGACAATCATCACAGTCCTCTCAACAGATCAACTGTCACTTCCATCTCCTCCTCACCAGCATGAAACAAATATATGTGGAATAGCTGATTACTGACAAGGATGCCTAGAAAGATCTATCATCACAGTCATCTCAATAGATCCATAGGTGATTCTGTCTCCTCCTCAAAAGTTCTACCAGCGTGAAACATGGATGAATCAAAACTAAGTGCCATGTGTGCATATACCGTTGGTTTTAATGTGCACCGCACACAGAATTCTAGTAAAACTTTCCCTGCAGGGTGCTGAACCACACTTGGTGGTGCATCAGTGTCAGGGCTCAAGCCTTACGTACATCTCTTCGCTGTCTTCCTAGAAACAGGTTCCCAATAACAGGAACACGGATAAGAATGACATTTGCTACAAATTTGGGGTGCATCTGCCTGAGAGACAAGAAACCAAGTTTGCATACAAATAAGCTGCAAAATGAATGCGAAAACGAAAACTCGAGTCCTGGAACAAGACCAACGTCCAGAAGTGGACAAACAATCACGACTTTTAGTTGGTGAACCTGAAGAAGAAGAAAAAACACTATCTGATGTAGAGATCATGTGAGAGATTGGTAGTAGAAGCACACTAGCTAAATAAAACATTTGTATGCTGCTCATGTATTCATTTACCCAGGAAGTTGTATTCGCAGCTGATTCATGTACACTGGGCACCTAAAAGATATATCTTGGTTATGCATTTTACAATAACAGATTTCCTCATCCACACAGCTGATGCCAGAACAAATGTAAATAAAAAGCGATGCACTCTCTCGCACCTTAAGGCTCATCAGGCATATATTACTAACCCCATCGGCACCTGACTAGTGGCTTAACTAAATCCCTTTATCTTTACTCCCCAGGTCATTCCCTGTACATGTTGTTACTAGCCTGGGTTGACCCGGAATCAAGTTTTATTTTGAGTCTGAAGCTTGAGGAAGGCATGGCTTATGCCGTCACCACAAACTGTGGAGGTTAGGATTTTTATTTTTGTCACAGACAGAGCAAAAAATGCCCATCACGTTACATTAGATTCAAACCCAGGTCTTTTGCATGAGAGCCCAGAGCCGTAACAACCTGGCCAGCCAATCACGCAAAAGTAAATTTAAACAAACAAAATCTATTTCAATGTGGTTTCAAACTTGCGCCCCCTTGGTTGGAGGGTAAGCAAATATGCGGGTCTTTGCGCTCTACATACTGCAGCCTCTTTCAAACAACTAATGAATTGTGAATACTGTCAAAGATAAATTGTAAAGAACAAATATGCAATTTCTCAAACAAACATTCATGTACATATAGTAGGATACATGGTATTTTCCCCCTGATAAACAAACATCCGTATGCATATGGGACACATGGCATATTTCCCCTAGAGATGTCATGTCAGCTGAACTGTGAAGATTCAGGTTGCAGAAAAAGATCTCATAATCACCATTCACCCAGGTCACAGAAAACTTACAAAACTGTGAATGCTGCCAGAAATGACTGGCAAAGAAAACTCAATGAGGCATTTTTTATGATGCATTAATGCAGGGCTATTCAACTACAGGCCTATGAACCGAATCTGGCCCACAGAGGCCTAGCAAGTGGCCAGTGGATCACTGCCAAAACAGTGATCTTTCTAGGCTGGGGATCATTTAGCCCGGAATGATCCCAATTTTAAACATTTTGTTAATGCATAAACAAACAGTGGAGCACCCCAAAAATAACAGATACATCCCGGACATCACCTCTTTGCACGTTCTCACAAATTGTTCTTACAGCTTGTAACTCAAGCATGTGTGTAAGGTCACTAGAAATGCTGGATAAGGGGCATTCTTGAGAAGTGACCCAAGCGAAAATGCCAGGTTTACAGCTTTCTGGGGCAAAAAGGCTAAGATATTACATGATTCAGACTGGAGTGGTGTAACAAAACCATGATGTGCCAACCATCCTTTTATCCCTGCCTCCCTGAGAATCTGCAAAACCAATACTATCAGTTAGGGCTAATTCGATGTAAATATGAATTTTTCTACTTGTCTATGGTGATCTGTTTACAAGATGTATAGTTAATGCTATTATCTGTTTCAGTGCTGCCCAAATGTTTATGAGGTCAGGGTGTGAATATATTAACTTAATAAAAATAGCATTTGGGGGTGGGGGGTTTCCATAAAACCAAATGATTTTTTAAAAAAAGCCAAGTTGACGTCACATTTTCCAGTAAGCCTCAGTGATATGTCACAGCATAAGTAACCACATTAATATATTTTTAGGCTCCGTGAATGTATTCCATTTAAAACTTCAGTGTTCACATTTATTGATTAATCCTTTTATATATCTTTACATATTAAAAATTTTAAATTTTTTAAAAATAACTAACACTAAAAGGAAAATTTAGTGACCTGTGTAAAAACTTTTCTTTAAAAGATTTATTTCCAAAATTTCTCATAGGGTCATGAAACATATTTTATGGTTACCAGGGAAAAAGGGTTAGGGGCAAACACAAAATAAGAATGAAGGGATATTAAACCAACAGGGTAAAATGGTTAGGGGCAAACAGAATAAGAACGAAGGAATATTAAACTAACAATCACCTAGACTAGAATAACTTTACCTAAGGCTCGATGGGTCAAAGTAACAAATGACTAAGCCATAAAGCGTTCCAAACACATTTATAACTATCAATCAAAAATATTTACACATTGAATAAAAATCCTTCTCAAGACACTCTGAAAGGCACCACTAAGTTTTCCTTGTGTTGAATCTTGATCTCCCTGGCAGCTGTTGCCAGTTTCTCACTGAAGGATGTAATCTGAAATGATACCACACAAATAAAACAGGATTTTTAAGTAAGAAAGTATGACTGGAACTACAGAAGACAGGATCAGAAATGATAATATCAGGAAACAAGTTGGGACGGAACCAGTCCTGAACTACATCAAGAGACAAACAAGACCAAATGGTTCAGACAGGTATCAAGACTACCACCAGATAGTGCATCCCATAGAGCCCTGCCACTTGGATAACAGCTAGGCTAGCCATGCAAGCAATAGAAGGATGGAATATCCTAGGCTGTGATTTTCAGAATCCCCACCAAGACCTGTACCTGATGCCTCTTGACACCCTGACGCTGAAAGACAGAATGTGGCATGGTGATTCTCGTCCAAGGTATGAGGGAAAGTTAAGGCCACTGTGTTGAGTAGAAGGAGATACTCCGCACCTCACTTCAGGCGCCAGTCGTTTCTGTGCTGGTTTTATGGATCCTAATGCAAGTTTCCTGCCATGCAAACAATGGCCTATATCGGCCCAAACAGAGCTGGGAGGAGATCTTCTAGTTAGTGGCCCCAGAGATGCAGTGTCCAGTAATTCTCTGGCTTTCATTAGCCTACCACCAATGCATGGTGGTAAGGGCTTGCATTTTTTCATGTGGACTTTGACTTGTAGTAATTCCCTATTGTCTCTGGGTAGTGAGATCCGACGCCAGTGTGCATTGCTGCACATGTAAAAAAAATCCCTTGACAGTTGGAAATCGAAAAGAGTAGCCTAAAGGCGCTGCCTGGGCAAAATTTTGGGTTAAATAGTTACCCAAAGTATTTCAGGATTCTCGCTGGTGCTACAGAGCCTGTGCACTGTGCTGAGCTTCTTCGGACTCAGACTTGAGTCAGAAGAAGAAAGGAGCACTTATGGGTTACTACCCCAGTGCCATGATGTTGAGCCATTGTTCAAAACCTTAAACCTCAATGTATGGGTGATAACGTCCATCTAAAACTCATTTGGAGTGAAGCCTGCTGGCCAAATACTCTACTACATGACAAGCCTTGCTTGAATGTTGGTCAATTTGTAATTTTACTGAAATGCTGCTTAGACTCAAATGTCCGTTAGTAAAAGTTAAACGTGATGAGCCTCAACCAGGTCTAGGTAAAGAGAAGAAAAAAAAAAACAAAGAGAAAAACACAAGAAATTCAGATTGTCTTTGCAAACAAGAATGTCTCCTCCTTCCTTCTCAGTACCATCCTAGGAGGTACTCGACTCTTCTCAGGAAAGTAAAGAAAAGTTATTCCTGTGTAGGTTCCAGGGCCCTTTTGTAGGGAAAACAAGAATAGACACACTGCTTATCCAAAAGCATGTCGTAAGAGTCAACTAATTCGGAGCTTCCTTCAAAACCAGAGTGCACCTGCCTGAGAGGCAAGGAACCAACAGCTGCATGCAAATGAGTAACACCTGTAAAACAGATGCACACGCAACACTCAGGTTGTGGAAAAAGACTAAAAGTCCAAAAGTGGATAAAAAACTAGAACTTTCAGCCGGTGAACGCGAAGAAATTTTCATTTTTTTCATTTAATTGCTTTTGTATTTATGTATTTTAGCATTAGGCAGTATATTAATTATTTTATACAACCCCATCATCAGGCGAGCATCTAGCTGCTGCAACATGGGGGTTTCTAAATTTGGAACTGTATAGTTTAAAAAATGATTGTGCAGGCTCTCCGCCTGCTCATTTCCTAACACACCAGCATGACCCAGAGAAAATATCCAAAGGATGCTAACAACCCAGGACCTCTGAAGCAATGCTTGCTACTCTGCACAAAGCATGCCTGTCTAAAACTTTCTTAACATGCTCTGCGAGTCAATTACAATTTTGACATGCATGTACAGCTGATTCCCAAGCCATTGGTAGACAGCAAAAACGACCTCCACCTCTATTCTCCTCAAACTAGACGTGATATATGCCAGGGTTTGTTGTGACGTCCATTCGCATGATGGAAGAATAGGCTGCAAGCCCCAAGTGATAAATAAACGTCACAACATGAAGATGATGATGATAACATGACAAAATAATACTTGTAGTGTAAAAAGGTCCAATAGGAAAGCAAAGAATAGTAACACAGTTGCCAGCTTCTTCTGCCCTATATTCTCCAGTGGAGCATAGACCCTCAACCAGTTCATGTTAAATCATTCTATCCTTTGCTATCACGTGCAGTTGAACCCATATCCTCCCCATCTTTTTAACTTCTAGCTCCTTTCTGCCTTTATTCGTCTGACCTTGTGAGTTTCAGTTCGAAGACATAGTTTTAGAGTACAGGTGTTATGCAGAACCCTGAGGTTATCACTGGAGCTGCAGAGTTAATTTTGTGTGTGACATTCTTGGTTGGAATCCAGCTGTTCTGCGGTGAGAATCTGGGTAATGATTCAACATTACAGCATTCAAGATGCTCTGTATCTCTCCTCAACAGCCAGCGAAGAGTCTCCTTACTAATGGTGCCTGTTATTATCTGTTTAAATACTGGTTAATACAGTGAGAAACTGAGCTATATATGCTAAAAACCAGTGCAATCTTTTTCCTCTTCTGTGTTTACTGGCTGTAAGCTCCAGCAGAAAGTTTAGGTTGTTCGACCATTTGGACTCTGGCTTTGGTCCAGAGCCTGATTTTGCACGTACATCCGTTTTACTGGCTTATTTGTGTGCAGTCGGTTGTTCCTTGTCAGTCAGGCAGATGCACTCCGACTTCAAAGGTAGTCCCCAATGAGTCGACTCTTACGACATGCTTGTTGGGGAGGCAGAGGTCTATTCTTCTTGACTGCACAAAGGGGCCCCGGAACCCACACAGTGAATCCAGTGCAATGAAATCAATCCTTTCATTTTCACTTTTTTTATATGGCTCCGCCACACGGATAGGGTAGAACATGAGCTTTGCTTTACCCATGATTCTGGTGAGTGCAGTAACAGACATGACTGCTTATGCTTATTCCCATGGCACATGACGACTCTTCCGCATACGCTTTTAAAAGAATGGTTGCCACACTGTGATAGGCCTGTGATATCTGCGTCTTTCAGCATAATACACCAAATTTCAGCAAAAACCCATTGTTAGTTACCTCCTACTACAAGCTTGTTAGGGATGCAGGCTATGGTCAAGATCCCCACCCCCTTCCCCAAAGGGGATTCCAGAACCCATAAAGGAAACATGATAATGATTAGCAACAAAGGATAAATGCTAAGGAAGAAAAGCATGACAATCTCACCATCTGAACATCTGATAATGATACTGGTGGTGCAGATAATATCATGTGAGGTGAAGTGATCGCACCAGGCAGCTGTGGTTGATAAACGAATGACTTGCCAGATCCAGACAGCACCATGTTTAATCGGTTGCTGCAAAATGTTCATTAAATATAATCATGTTAGTCATTTTTGTTTTGATGATAGTCTTTTTCTTTTTTGCGTTCACCAGCTGTTAACTCTGGGGTAAAGTTTTGGTTGGGCGTCCATCTCTAGACTTCAATTTTGTGTGCAAATCCATTTTTATAGATCTGGTTTATTTGTAGGCAGACTGTTGGTTCCTCACCTCTCAGGCAGATACACTCTGACCTAGAAAGAAAAAAACTTCTGATTAATTGACTTTAACGACATGCCTGTTGGGGGAGGGAGCAGTGGGACTGCTCGTTAAAAATTTTTTTTTTAACCCCCCACAATGGGGCCTTGGAACCCGTACGGGGAAACTTTCCAGATTAAGATTGGATACCATATCATTAAGCTGCCTTAGTTTTGTTTTTAAACAGAGGAAATCTTTCTACAACTGAAACCAATTAAGGTGACTAATTTCTCTTCTTCTTCCTAGCCTTCACCAGCTGTAAACTCAGAAAGTTCTGATTGTTCATCCACTTCTGGACTTTTCTCTTGTTCCAGCACTTGAGTTTTGCATGCAAATCCCGTACAGGGAACCTTTTGGATTAAGAGTGGATATCATACAGCTCAGCTGCCTCAGCTTTGGTTTTTTGATTTGATTGATTTGATTCAAGAACCAACATCACAGCACTCGGGGCATTCCCATAAGCGCTCTGTCCCCATCTTCAGCAGCCAGTGAAGAGTTCCAATACTAATGGAGCCTTTGGTTTTTTAAAATAGGAAAGCTTTCTACAACAGAAACTAATTCTTCTTCTCCCTCTTTCCTCTACTCCTGGAATGCCTTGTGGCATCAGTACAGAAAGAGATCTCTGGAACGGGCCTTTCTGTTCATATTAAGTACTTTTCAGTGTCTCTGATATTTGTGCAGCCCATCTTCTGCGTGGTCAATCTCTGGCTCTGTTACCATTCCATCTGTATAACACTGCTCTATGTGGTGCCCTGTCTGATGCCAATCTTGTTACATGGCTAAACCATTTGATTTCTTGTCTACCTATAAAGTTCAGTATTGGAACTGTGCCGAATCTCTTCCCGATATAATCGTTCCTAAGTCAATATTTTCACTTTACACCTACCATAGTACATAAACATTTCATTTCTGCTGTGACCATTTTTCTTCTGTTTTCTGAAGATGGTGTCAATGTTTCGCATTGATAGCATAGGTAAGAATACTGATTTGAAGTTTTTTTGTTTTTGTTTTAGTTATATTCACATGCTTGCCTTTCAAAATTGGTGCCGTTTCGTCTAAAACTTGATTGGCTTTATTGCATCTGTGTTAGATTTCTTTATTAATTCTTCCGTCTTCTGAAAAAAAAATATTCCCCCCATATATGTAAAATCCTTTGCCTGCTTCAACTGATGTTCAACCATCGAAACTTGAACTCTTCGTCTGCTACTGAAGATGGAGACGGAGCGCGCGTGGGAGTGTCCCAAGTGCTGTGATGTTGATTCTTAATTAAACTGATGTTTATCAATTTTGATATTGGTGATTCTTCCTTTTCTGGAGAATGTCATCACTTAGGTTTTGTCTACGTTGATCTTCATATCATTGGTGTTGAATTCTGAGGGGAGTCTATTAATATGTTCTTGTATTTGTACTGCTGTTAGTGCTATGATTGTCTGGTCATCAGTAAAAAGAAATTCATTTAGTAATTCTCCAATGTTGTTGTCCCCTTCGCTGGCATTAGCTGATTTGCAAATTTGGATGACGTATGTGATGAACAGTAGTGATGATAGAATGCACCCCGTCTCACTCCAGATCTAACGTACAACTTTTCTGACATTAATGTATTTGTTCTAACTGCGCAATGACTGTTTTTGTACAAACTCCTGCAAAATTTAATAAGGTGTTTGTTTACCTACAAATTCTTTATCGAATTCTACCGTCCTTTCCAGTAATTGTCTAAGTGTGAATACTGCATCAGTACAACTTCTGTTCTTTCAAAATCCCATTTGTCTATCACTAAGTTGTGGTTTGATGACAAGGCGTAGCCTTTTTTTCAACCATCTTACAAAATGTTTTCCCGGTGTGGCTCAATAACAAAACTCTTCTAAACTTCTAACTCTCTACTGCTGCCTTTTTTCTTCCAGACGGGTACTATTATTGCATTTCTCCAGTACTCTGGTGTCTCTTGTGTTGTCCAGAATAGGTTGAACAGGCTGTGCATCAATTTTACACCTACCTCTTCTACTGCTTTGAGATATTCAGCAGGTTTATCGTCAGGGCCTGGAGCTTTGTTGGAAGGTGCTCTTTTACAGCTTTTCTTATTTCTGCGAGTGTTATGCTTGGTTCTAAATTTTCGTTTATGTAGCTGTTGCTTGCTTGTGTTGTGGATTGTTCCCAGCACATTGTGGGTTATTTGTGTTGTTGGATTGATCTAGCGTGCCTGACTAAACTTGAGATGCACAAATATTTTACTTCTTCTTTGCGCTTACCTGCTAATAAACTCCGGCAAAAAGTTCTGGCAAAAAGTTCGCCCACCTCCGGACTTGAGTTTTGTTCCAGAACCTGAGTGTTGCATGCACATATGGCTTATTTGAATGCAGACTCTCGGCTCCTTGCCTCCCAGCAGATGTTCTACGATTTCGAAAGACACCCCCACTTAGTTGACTCCTGTGACATGCTTGTTGGGGAGGCATTATGTCTACTCTATTTTCCCCATAATAGGACCCCGGAACCTACACGGGGAGCACAATTACACAAAACATGTTGATTGGTGCACATGAGTAATATACAGTACACACAGTACTAAAGAGTTGAGGGCCACAAAAAAAAAAATACAAGAACAAGACAAGTGCAGAAATCTGACCTGTACTGGGTGGTCCTGTCCTGCAAATACCCTTGTTCTAAATTGTGTGAATCTGATGAGGTCACATCAATGATGTTGCTGTAAGAAAAGATATTTCTGCATTTGAAAAGGTGTAGTAGACAATTACATCATACACTGATAGATTACATAACACCTGACCAAGCTATTAGCTCTCTGTTTTGATTATTATCAAGGGTCCAATTTTTTGGCGGAAAAAAAAAAGCGGCTCACTGACACATCATTATAAAAAAAAATTAAAAGTCATGTAAAACAAATTTAAGTATCTTAAAATTTTTTTTTAAAAATATTCAGTAAGAAGCTCTGGTGGAAAGTCCATTTAGATTGTTGCTTTGTGCCAGGGTCTGAGTTTTGTGTGTACATTCGTTGTACTGGATTATTTGTGTGCAGTTGGTTTTTCCTTGGCATTTGGGCATATGCACTCCAACTTCGAAGGAAATCCCCAATGAATCTACTCTTACGACATGCTAGTTCGGGAGGCAGCGAGTCTATTCTTGTTTTCTCCACAATGGGGCCCTGGAATCCACATGGGGACCTTGTACATTTATTTAAGTAAGGCTTGAAAACAAACTGAGTAAGTGTTGTTAAAAAAAATAAAAACATTTAATTTTGGCGTCTTTTTAAAATATACATTAAATCTATATATTGTTGATTTGGCTTGTTGGGGAGGCATTATGTCTACTCTATTTTCCCCATAATAGGACCCCGGAACCTACACGGGGAGCACAATTACACAAAACATGTTGATTGGTGCACATGAGTAATATACAGTACACACAGTACTAAAGAGTTGAGGGCCAAAAAAAAAAAAATACAAGAACAAGACAAGTGCAGAAATCTGACCTGTACTGGGTGGTCCTGTCCTGCAAATACCCTTGTTCTAAATTGTGTGAATCTGATGAGGTCACATCAATGATGTTGCTGTTTTTCCTTGGCATTTGGGCATATGCACTCCAACTTCGAAGGAAATCCCCAATGAATCTACTCTTACGACATGCTAGTTCGGGAGGCAGCGAGTCTATTCTTGTTTTCTCCACAATGGGGCCCTGGAATCCACATGGGGACCTTGTACATTTATTTAAGTAAGGCTTGAAAACAAACTGAGTAAGTGTTGTTAAAAAAAATAAAAACATTTAATTTTGGCGTCTTTTTAAAATATACATTAAATCTATATATTGTTGATTTGGCACTGAATTAGACTGATCCATATGAACTTCAGTTAGCAAATATAGGCCCATGATCAGATATTCTCTTCTTGGACAAAGAAGCATTTATAACTTTGCTTGTAAAAACATAAACATATGTTGTTATTGCCAAACACTCCTGTTCACTCTTGTATATTATTATCATCTCTCAACACTGCCTGTCTTGGGTCATCAGCTGCTGCTGACTGTCTGATCAGCCCACTCCACTTGTAATGGTCAGATGTTGCTAATGCCTTTTGTACTGCATGATGACTTGAGGACGAATAATGATTTGACTTCATCCCTGTGAGCAAAGAATGTACTTTCCAAGCTATGAGTGCAAGAGTTAGGTGCCAGTATCTACTGTCATCATGAAGAATAGCTGTGACTTTCTTGCAGCTGTGACTTGTGTGCAATCTCAGAATGCAAAGCTTGGGTCTTCAGCAGGCTATACCACAGCATACCCCCTGTTCAGGTTTGAAGATAGGTGGCGCTACCTGAGGCCTCCAGACATGAACATTTGACTAAATTTACAAGTCAATATACCATTATATATTATATTATGGTACACTAAACCATATAATGCACACAATAAAAAAGAAGGACGTAGAGCACAAGGTAGACCAAAATCAAAATGGAAAGACAATATCAGAGAAACTTTACTACAGCATGATGTGTCCATGGTCGGGGCGGCCAGAAAAGCAACAAGCAAAACCTTGTACTTCCCTTGACACACAAAGTGGAAGTGAAGGCCAAAATGTAGTACAATGTACATGGTTAAGTAGTACCAGATTAGCTAGACATACCTCCCTCCCCCATCCCAATTTCCGAAGGTCTGCCACTGACCTATACTTGTTAATAGTCATATTGAAGAACTTATAATAATAATTTACAAAGGACTACAGAAATTGCAGCCTAGCTGTAAACAAAAAAAGGTAAAGTCGGGAGATGTGAACCAGCATAATTGCACACGGTTATAAAAGATAAGTGCTCTGCCACCAGTACGGATAGCTGATAAGAAACTGTCCGCCTGTGTTGCCGTCTGCACGCAACTCCGTAGCTACAACAACGTTCTTCCATTTACCCCAGAGTGTTAACTCTGGTACCTATTACCTAGAGGCTGGGTGAACCCCGGGAACAGCTTGGTTTCGAACACCGGCCGTGGGCTGCAGCAAGTCGCAGCTGGATTTGTCTCCTATCGACTGCGCTAAGGTTGCCCCCCAAAAGCCTAGCTGTAAACCACAACACAATGTGTCAAACTTAGAAGCATAAGAAGAAGATGCATAATCCTTTATGAAATTACATAGATAAAGAAACAAAATCAGCTAATTGCCGTAAAAAAATTACTAAATAAACAAGAGCGGAAAAATAATGACTCTCCTACATTGCTGTCTGTCTTAAAATTCTGGTAATTTCCGACTGCTCGTCCTCTCTCTGGTTGTCTTGTGAGTAGATAAGCCCTGACTGGCCTCTGTAATATAAATAATTTTGAGGATGGGATGAAAAATGTCTACATTAACAGATTTCTTAATAATGTTTGTATATGTTAATTGCCTCTTCTGGTACCACGAAGTGCGTTATGAGTTTATTTATAATTAACTGTCTTCTGGTACCGAAAGAATTAACAAATACACATTAGGAACATTTGGTGATAAAGTTAAAAAAAAAAATCACAAATAAGGGCACTAAAATGTGAAACAAATGGAATGCTGAATGTTAAATGAAGAATCGACATTACAGCACTGGGGACACTCCTACAAGTGCTCCATCCTCATCTTCAGCAGAAAGTGAAGAGTTCCAATTCTGATGATACCAGTAACGGTCTGACTGGATTAAGGAAGCAAGAACGTTAAAACAAACCTGGAACAAACACTGATGAGAGAGGTTAGAGCTGAGGGACTTGGTTCTATAGTCATGCAACACGATGACCAGAATCACAGATAAGATCCTTGCATTCTTCTTAAAAAAAAAATAAAACACATTTCCAAAGCAAATAACTGTTTTCCACCTTGTCTGCTTATTGCCCATGTTTCACATGAATATAACAATACAGGTTATTTTCTGCAATTGAATCTTCTTATTGGTGAGCATCTTTTGCATCTTGCTAAAGGCCACTTATACAAAGGCGATTTTTCTTCTCCTAATTTCTGTCAAGGTATCTTGCATCAGATGTTTATGACAGGTCCAAGATATTTGTATTGATACATTTGCTTAAGAATTCTGTATCTGCGTGTATTTGACACTGAGGTATTTCTTTCCCTTGGTGATGACCTTAATTTATGCTAGGCTCCATATGTAATACTGACAACACTTTGCAGATTGAATGGACTCTGCCCCCTGTGAGTCCTGTAGGCCCCATTGTGGGGGAAAAAGAACAGACCTACTGCCTGCTAACAAGAATGTGGTAAAAGGTGACTAATTAAAGGTGATTCTTTTAAAGTAAGAGTGCACCTGTCTAAGAGGTGAGTAACCAACAGTCTGCATACAAATAAACCAGATAAATGGATGTGCATGCAAAACTCAAGTTCTGAAACGAGACCAAAGTCCAGGACCCAAAACAAACAAAAAAATTTTCTGCCAGCGTTTACAGCCAGTGAACGTTGAGAAGAAGAAGATGAAAGGACTGGGCCTTGCAGCCATTTTAGGCTGGGTCAACCTTGACTTCAAGGTCAATAAAAAAAAAATTCCATCTCTATGCAGATTGAAACCCAGAAGGTTCAAGCTGACAGGCAGGGTCTAGTTATTATAAGTGCCTTATAATATTTCAGACAGCAAATTACTTTTGACTTACCCATCACCGTGGCTAGAATGATCTTGCCGCAAAATAGGTGTTCTCTCATTGGGAGCCTGCAAAAAATACATTAAAAAAAGTACTTAAATCCAATAAATGCAGAATTTGCGTAGAATATTAAGACATTTACAGAGCCCTTCAGAGCCAAGGTGATATAGCGGTTATAGTGGTCAGTATGATTGCCTGTCAAAATAATTTTCCAGGTCTCTAAGTGTCTTCCCAGACACCATTTTGGGGAGAAAATAGAACAGACTGACTTTCCATAAACAGGCTGACTAACTAGAAATCTGCTCATCCACAACAGAGTTACAGGGTGGAGTGGAGAAGGCAGAGCAGAGACTACAGAATGGACAATGACAGCATAAACAGACATAACAAAAAAGAACAAACAAGAATACTGAGCCATAATGATACTGTAGTCATGGAGCACACTTACACAATATAAGAATCCGCTATTTGTGGATGCGGAGCAGCCAGGCTTCTGAGTAAGGTCTTCAAATGTATGTGTGTGTGCGTTGGGGTGGGGGGGAGGAGGTGGGGAAGGGGGATTGGAGAATTAACACAACAGGAGTCTTCAGACTGAATCAAATAGTTTCTAAATTTTTCATCCCTTTGATTTCTGGACATTCTTGACATAACAAAAATCTAGACTACTTTGACAACTGTGCAGACAAGAGAATGCAAGTAAAGAAGGACAGTTACACTGCCTGCGTAATCAAAAAATCTTGATTAATTCGAACTGCTACTACTATTAATGTGTCTCCCTCAATATACTGCAAAAGAAGAGAACTAAAATATTAAATAATACATGAAAATTCTTGTCTTCATTTGTACTAGAAGCACTAAATTGGTTGAATGAAGTAACATCTGCTAGGGACTGAAACAGTTAATGTACTGTAAGTAAAGGACCCTTTTCATGCCTTGATGCCACAGTTGATAAGAAGCTCGCTTTCAAATTCAGCTGCGACTCGCTGCAGCACACGGTCGGTGTTCGGGCGGCTCCCGGGGTTCACCCAGGCTCTAGGAAATGGGTACCAGAGTGATACTCTGGAGTAAATGGAGAAACTTCGCTGCAGCTACAGAGTTACGTGCGAACGACGACTTAGGCGGACAATTCTTATCAGCTGTCCGTACTGGTGGCAGACTCGAACCCACAACCTTCGGATCAAAAGGTAAGCATCTAGCTACACCACAGCGACTTCCTTAATTTACAGCAAAATACACACATTTCCTTAGGATAGAGATGTTTTTCTCTCTAGCTTGGCTTAAGACTATTGATTGATGACCAGACAAGCCGCCATCGTAAAACATCCTTTGTTTAAGAAGCAGATTTAAAGCTCTCATTCACCAAACACAAAAAATGTAAGACTTTCAACTCCTGTGTGATTCCAGTGCTTACTTATGGATGTGATAGTTACACAGCAATGGTAGCTCTAGATAAATTAGACAAATTTGAGAACAGATGTCTCAGAAGAATATATATTAAATCTCCACCGGATAGATTTCAGATCCAATACTCAAGTAAGATAAGAGACCAAGCAAGATAACATATCCAGGTTTATAAAAAAAAAGTGCCGCTGGAACTACATCGGTTATGCACTCAGAATGGATGTTGAATTAAGAATCAACATCACAGCACTCGGGACACCCCCATAAGTGCTCCGTCCCCATGTCCAGCAGCAAGCGAAGAGTTAAAATTTCCATGGTACCAGTAATTGTCTCATTGTGTATCCGTCTCACCTTTCCCCTGAGTGTCGAGCGTCGGCCAGATCCCCTTGTAACTCCTTGAGGTGCAATTCTCCTCAGACCGTAATGATCACTCTGTTCCTCGGCACTGTTTACTCGCTCCCAAAGGGTCCTCACAACATCCAGCTTGTCATATATCAGTTCACCGCCAACTGGAGCAGATCAGGCCAGTCTATCTGCCTGCTCATTTCCCAACATGAAAAAGATCAGACTACCCCATGAAGCATTCATTTGGACATCAGAAGAGAAAAGAAAACAGGAAAGACCAAAAGAAACCCTGTGTGGAATCATCATGAGGGAAGGCTCAACCATGGGCCTTATGAGCATCCAAGACTTAAAACAGGTAGCAATGAACTGCCTGACATGGAGAGCTGTGACCTATACACCGCCCTGGGCTCAAGAGGAAAGACTAACTAACAAAACCTTTGGGGATATAAAGCATCGACAAAACATCTAAATGGGGTCAAAATAGTTATTATATTCCAAAAATTTAGAAGCAAAACATAAAATAATACGCTGAGATAATTTACCAGCACTCCTCCAAATAACGGCCCCAAATTTTCTAGGTCAAAAATCAACCCTTAAAGGGTGGATATGTAAAATTAGGTGGCATTTATTTCCGTTAAATATGGCAGGCAGACCATCAGCTTAAAACAGATTAGCAATAATGTTCTACTGATTGATGAACTGGCAGCTGTAGATGATTCCCCAGCTGACTTATATAAATTAATGAATAATAAACTACAGTGATTGCAATGGTTTGCTACACAAATATTATTATGAAATACAGTAGAATATTCTTGTTGCAAATGTCTGATGTCATTAGTTTCGCGGTTGGACTGTTGTGACAGACTCTCATGATGGAATCAAAGTTACTAAGGTGGGACTAGTTGCGCATTGTTTATTACACATTTAACGGATTTTCAGTGGCGGCACAGTCACAAAGACCACGTTTTTGGACAGTATTTACAACGTTTGTGCCACAATTTCAAGATAGGCTATCCTCCGAATAACGGTCCTAAATTATCGAGGCGGAAAATATACTCAAACAGGGCCTCAGTCACGTGTCAATTGCGCACTTCCGGGGACTATACCACCGCCGCCGAGAATATCACGCTCACCCGGCGTGGATTGGGGCTAAAGATGGATCACGTAAGGGGCATGGGGGATACTCTCGGCGGTGGCGGAAGTTGCCGGAAGTGCGCAATTGACTGAGGCCCTATTAGGGTATATTTTCCGCCTCGATAATTTAGGACCGTTATTCTGAGGATAGCCTCAAGAAATAATTGTTACCTATTATTGGTAAGTATATCCATTTCTTAATTTTTATATTTTACTTCCTAGATAATTTAGAGCTGTTATTCAGAAGAGTGACCTCCTCGTATTTCAGCAGAAGTCAGAAGCCATTTGTTTATCGTGTGCTGTTATATCCAGAACAGCTATCAAGAGAATGCACGAAGAAGTCAAGAACTGCCAGGATGTTGTCTGTGACATTAGCCTACGACTACCAATAAATCTCGATTATTTAAAAGTGTCATTATTAATAACGTTTCTCTCTTAATTTACTGCATCAGGGCAATGGCTACTGATGGAACGATGGCATCAAGAAGCGTCAAAGAAATGAAAATCAACCTATGCCTATGGCCTATATAACGTATTGAAAAAAAAAGCACAAAGAAGACCCTTACACCTCCGTTAACACTTCGATGAAGTAACTGGTGGAAAGTGAAAAAGAATACAAGAAGCAAAACATGAAAGACTTTATCAAGATCCCTGTTTTGTCTGTTCAACGTCAATGCGTAAGCTGTGACAACGGTTGAAGTAACATCTACCATGGGGGTGAAATAGTCTATATTCTGTAAAGTACAAAAACTTTAGGGGGTAGAAAGCGTTGAGGTAAATCTACATGGGACAAAATAGGTTAATAAACTGCAAAACAACAAAAGTAAAATATGAAAAATTACATCGAGATCCTTGTCCTCGTCCGTACTACAGCAGCACCCCATTTGTTTATCGTCTGCAGGCAGACATGTCCGTCCTCACGTGATGTGTGTTTACTTACCAGGCGTTTGATTGGTTGATGGCCGATGTCACTGCCGCGGCTATTGGTTCCGGGTTATGGCCGTCTGCAGGGAAGTGAAAGTAAGAGGCTCGTTTCAAATGTTTCTGTTTTAGAGTGGGGAAACTAAGTTATTTATGTCCGTTAATTTTATCTTTATTGGCCTCTCTGACACAGGATACCAAGTTACTTCAGGTAGCGTTATAGTGCCCCAATATAATAACTGTTTTATAGGTTTCTTCCTGTGGGATTGGCATCCTTTCCTTCTTCAAGCCATAGTTGTCAAACCTTTTCAGACAGAGAAAACTTGAGAAAAAGGGGGGTGGGGGCGCGCTTATTCCCCCCCCCACCCCCCGTACATATTTTTTCAAGCAAAAAAGGTGGAGGGGAGCTCTTAAGCCAGTCTAATCCTATTTTTAGTTCTAGAAATTAAAAGCCTGTGTGAATTTTGTGCCTGTTAGCATTTTGCCATGACATGAAAATGTGTGAGAGAAGCCTGTCTGCTCACACTCGGTGACTACAGGCTACAGACGCGCCCACGCAGAGAAAACAGGAATAGGAAAAACACAGGGGGGGGGGGGGAGACCTCAAGGAGCCTAATCCTACTTTACGAGCATATTCATAATATTAATGATAATAATGTGCTGAATAGTAAATTTAAATTATAGTACATTTGAAATAATAGGGAAATTTGCAAATACACACTTGATGCTGTTGAAGATAATTTCTGGCTATCCTCCGAATAACGGTCCTAAATTATCGAGCTGGAAAATATACCCTAACAGGGTCTCAGTCACGTGTCAATTGCGCACTTCCAGGGACTATAACGCCACCGCCGAATTGCGAACTTCCGGGGACTATACCCCCATCGCAGATAGTATCCCCCCCACGCCGCGTGAGCATCGTGGATTGGGGCTATACTAGATGGCTAGGACTCATGAGCAAATAAAATGGGAGATTCGGTAGCTGCTGCTAGTGAGTCCCAGCCATCTAGTTTAGGCCCGATCTATGCCGCATGAGCGGCGTGGGGGAAACTCTCGGCGGTGGCGAAAGTCGCCAGAAGTGCGCACTTTAAGACGACAGAAGTGCGCAATTGACACGTGACTGAGGCCCTGTTAGAGTATATTTTCTGCCTCGATAATTTAGGACCGTTATTTGGAGGATAGCCGAATTTCTATACATGTGTTAACGAGGGCTGCTTAGCCTTCTTTTTTTTTAAATGGTTGGGGGGAGATCGGGTATTCTGAAAACCCGGGTTTCGGCATCTCTAGTTGGTAAGGCACTTGTGGGTAAACTTTTATCAGAGCAGCCATTCTCTAAAGATCTTACTTTTTGATGTGATGAAGTCCATGTATGGGTTCCATGTTGGAAAAGAATACCCCCCCCCCCCCCCCCCCCCCCCCCCCTCCCCCCCCCTCCCCCCCCCCCCCTTAAAAAAAAAAAATCCACAACAACCATGTCAAAAACTTTTAACTTATTAGTGGTGTTGTCTTTGAAGTCGGAATGCATCTGCCTGAGAGATGGGAAGCCGACGGTCTGCATACAAAAAACCAGATCTCTAAAATAGATGTGCATGTGAAAGCTAAGAAGAAGAAAATATGATAAAGTAAAAATTTTCATTTGCTTATTAATTGATTTCTTCTAGCATGTCTGAAGATAAAGTGGCTGGAGTAGAAGCCTCCGCCATCAGTATACTCAAGAGAGCCGTGGAGTTGGATAACAGTCACAGATATGATGAATCATTAACATGTTATCAGGAGGGAGTCGGGTTACTGATGCAAGTTTTAAGAAGTATGTTGCTTGTTCTGTGAGTTGGAATGTCATAGTAGTTAGGGCACTTGCTGATGAAGACAGTGGTCCAGGTTCAGTTCCCAGCAGTTCATTCTAATATGTCAGTATATGTTACATAGGGCTCACAGTTTTTTCCTCTGCTGTATTTTATCCTGTGCAGTCACATCAGTATCATGGATGGAATCCAGTCTGGCGCCTTATTCTTCTCTCATCAGCGTTCGTCTTGGGGTTTCTCTTAATAGTCCTTGTTTCCTCATCCCTCAGTTTCCCATTTCAATGCCCCTTTGGTGATTCTCTGTTTATCTCTTCTGAGAATGTGTCCAACATAGCGCCATATTCTCTGTCTTATAACTGTTGATACTAGTCTGGTCTGGTAGTCTTAGTTTCAGCTTCATAGCAAACGGGTCACCCCATCTTTGCTCCGCTCCTGTGCCAAATAAACACACAGAATGTTTATCACAGTCCCTTGTGGAAAGATTGACAGACTGCTGTCACAGCATATCTAGCATACACTCGCATTTAAGCATACAGTAGCCATCCGAAGTGCTAACACAAACAGTCCGACATTAGAAATGCAGTTCATCATTGATGGTAGCAGAAGTCACCAACAGATCAGCAGTTGCCCACGCAATCAATTTTGATCACATACAGGCATCACTAACATTGCGACAACAGACATCGCACTGTTTTCTGAATTTACAATTCACACCACCACGTTGGTCACAGTCGAAAAAACATTCCAAATGAAATCTGCAGCTCACAGTGTCACGCCATGCATTCAACTCAGAAGCTGGGCAACGAAACTATATCCAGTCTACAAATGGAGCAAAAATGCATCGGCCACCGTCCGGCAAGAGCAAAAAATTTGCCTCGGCTTCGAACAGTGCCGCTGCCTAGCGTCCATCTCTATTTACAGCCGGACCTGAGTGTTTTTGAGTGCATTTAACTTTCTTTTCTTCCATGTCTTTAGTGGTTCTCCCACCTTTACTGGCTTATGTTAAACTGAAATAACATAGAAATTAAAAATCTGTAACTTAGTTTTAATGAATGTTCAATTAAGAATTGAAAATCACAGCACTAGGGACACTTACATAAGCCCTCAGTCTCCCGTCTTCAGCAGCAAATGAAGAGTTCCAATTCCCTTGGTACCAGTAACTTTTTCATTGTATATCCCTCTCCTCCTTCCCTTGAGTGCTGAGCGTTGGCCAGATCCCCTGGTAACTCCTCACAGCGCTATTCTCCTCAGACTGTAATAATCTGTTTGTGCCTACACAATGTTCACTCACTCCAAAAGAGCACTCACAACATCTAGCTTGTCATACGTCAGTTCACCACCAGGTGGTGCAGAACTGGCCAGTCTATCTGCCTGCTCATTTTCCAACCCACTGGCATCACCTGGAGAAAATATCCAAAAGGACACTAACTACCCGGGACCTCTGAAGTGACGCTTGCCAATCTGCGTGGAGCATGCCTGTCTTTACCTTTCTCAACAGGCTCTGTGAATCAGTTATAATCACAGCTTGTGTGTACAGCTGATTCTCAAGCCAGTGGAAGGCAGCAGTGACTGCCTTCATGTCCATTCTCAAACTATACATTGTGATATCATATGCCAGACTTTGTTGCACTAAGCGACATCCATTTGCTTCTCCTATAAACCCCTATGCACTTTGTCTGCACCTCAGTACAAGCCATCTGTATAGATAATCATATCACTTTAGCGGGAATTGTCATGATTCATTTGTTGAACTTCTGATTCTGCAGCACCAGCTGGCCAATCTCTTGACTCAGGACCTTAGAACCCTACACAAGTCTTAAACTTGCTCGGACACTTTGACCCACTCCTCTACTCACCCAAATTTATCAAACCTGCTCACATATCTAATTGTGTCCTCAGCTTGCACCATCCAAACTTTCCTCTTTTTAGTCTGTGACCCTTATCTCTACACAGGGCTTCATGCAGGAGGTGCATCCTGTCTGCATCTACTTGAGATGTGTCTTTGCTTGCAGAACATTAAGCCTATCTGCAATAGTAGGCAGTGAAAGTATATATCGCATACATACTACCGGGGTATTTTTTGTTTATCCCAGAATTACTCGCATAGCTTCATTCTGTATGTGTTCAAGTTTCATCAGCTAACTCTTTGATGTGGTGAGCATTCCATCTATCACCGACAGGATTAAATGCTAAAATATTTTGAACAGCATTTTTTGTTCCATGTCTGTTGCTGCCGTAATCTTTAGAGCATTGAGTCCTTTTTGGCATTTCACTGCAACTGCCTCCACATAATCCCTTCAGGACAGGCTTCTATCGAAAATGATACCCAGGTACCTTAGTTTGCTTTCTCTTTTGATGTTACTGTTGTTAATTGTGAAGCTTGGAACATCAGCTGTAACAATTCTATTGTCTAGAAAGCACAATAAAACAGCCGCTTTTTCTGAGTTTATGACAGCACTCACTTCAGCACACCAGTCAAGTCACTTTGTCTACAGTTGCCTGTCGCTCTTGGGTTATTCTTCGCTTAGGACTGCCTTGCCTAACATGGTTCTAAAACTGTATAATTTAGTTATGTTTTTCCCAGCGGTATCTGGGGTTATTTTAGGTAACCATTTCATGTTTTAATATTTTCCAACAAAAATGATTACTCATGGAAAGTATTTGCTTAATCAGGAATGTATGTGGCAAAGCGGTAAAGCCATTTACCTCGTGCTCTGAAAGTCATAGGTTATTTTTATGGCTGTAGTTTTATGGAGATCTCTTGGGATTGTTGCTGGAGCTATGGTGTTCTTACTGTGTAGGACAATCTCGGCAGGTGGCTAGCCTTTCTGTGAAGTGAGACCGAGCTTAAGTGGATAAAACTCAATGCAATAATGTTGATCCTCTTGAATTTATCCTTTATTTATTTGTATAATACCCTTTCCTTGTTTTAATTATAGTAATATGAAGTAAATGACCTTTTTCATGCCATTGGTGCATCGGGTAGATTAATATATATGTTGACCAGTGAGAACTTAGTGGACAGGGCTGTTAACCTGCCAGTCACCTTTACTTCCCAGGACATTTCCTGATACCCAGTTAGTCTGGGTCAACATGGAAGTCAAGATAGATTTTTTTAAACATCATGATGAAATTTGTTTTTGTTTTTTAAACAGGTGTAACAGATGCTGGTAAACGGCAACGGTATCGACAGAAAATTGAAGAGTACCTGGCTAGAGCTGAAGAGTTGAAAGTGTTTGTCAAAGATGAAAAAGAAGGTTTGCATGTGTTACCTTCATGAAAAGAATGATTATTTGCTAGGCCCATTTTTTTATAGACCGGTCGGCTCTCGAAGGGTGATGTGGTCAGTATCTTTCCGACCATCTTTACTTCAGAGGATATTATCTTGAACCAAAAAAAGGTCATGTCAGTCTGGCAGCCAAAATCATATTAAAGAATCTACATCGACATGGGTTAGAACCCAAGACTTTCAGGCCTGTAAGCCTGAAATCTCAGGGGTTTGTCAGACACACTGACTACCGTTACCTGGGTTAATATGGCATATCTTCTTCTTAGCATTCACCAGCTGTAATATCTGGTGAAAAACTCTGGTTGTTCGTCTTATTCTGGACTTTGATCTTGTTGCAGAACTTGAGGTTTTCATGTGTATTCATTTTACAGATTTGGCTTTTTTGTATGCAGACTGTTGGTTCCTCGCCCGTCAGGCAGATGCACTCTTACTTCGAAAAAAACACTCATAATTAGTGGAATTATTTAACATGCTTTGTGAAAGGAGGAGGGGGGGGAGGCACAGTGAATCAATCCTAACCCCCCCCCCCTCCCCCCCCTCCCTTCCCCCAACAAAATAGAGCTCCAGAACCCAGACGAGGGCTTGGCATATCAAGACTGTTTCCTAATATGGGGATAGTTCTCTATTTGCCAGGACCCATATGGAAAGTAAAGAATAACGCACTGTAGCTGACTGTACGTATCATAAGAGGTGACAGGAGTTGGTGTGTGCTGTGTCACTTGTAGATGTATGAGAGAGAGAGGATGAAAGAAACTCACATCGAGAGGTGTTGAGATTTTCAGAATGTCAGTATTAACGTGCTTCATAATACCAGGGTGCCGGGTTTGATCCCAGCTGCGGGCCTTGCGTTGGTTTGTACAGTGGTATCGAGAAGCCGACCGTCCAGAAAGCAATGGCAAATTACTGGACGTGAATTTGCCTAGAAAAACCATAACAGCTAAAACTGCTGAGGTTGGTTCTGCAACATCCTGTAAAGGATACGCAACTAACTAGACCAGTGGTAGTTGTACTTTTGTTAACCCTTTCACCATGATGACGTAGAAAAAATAAAGCCAGGCTCCCATACTTTTAATTTTTTCCGAATTCCTGAATACAAAAATCCTTAGAAAAACAACCATTTTACATATCACACACTCAAACAAAAATCATGCAAAATCAATTTATCTTCGGAAACATGAACAGAGTAAGAGAACTAATCAATAAAAAAATGAATGCAGCACATTTATTGGCGCCTGTAAACTAATTTTAACCTGACCCTTGACCCTGTGAGGAAGCTGCCATGGTGTAGTGCCTAGACACTCGTCTGCAGATCTGAAGGTTATGGGTTTGGGTCCTGATGGAGCCAGTCTTTTTTCAAAAATGTCTTTGGCTCACAGGTCGACCCAGCCCTAGATGGGTACCAGGTAAATATGGCCAGCTTGATGTTGACGACATCACCCACCAAGTCTAGATTGGTGTGAAAAATATAGGTCTAGCCCTGTTTGCCCAGTACGCCTGAAAGCTTGCAAAAATTTCCTTTACTTTTACTTTACTTGACCCTTTGACCCGATCGGGTAATGACTAGCAATGGGAAAAATATGATCTAGGAATTTCTATAAATAAAGCCATTTTTTAAACAGAGACACCCTAATTGCTATAGATAGTAAATTTAGTCATGCCCCGTCATGTTGAATGTTTGTGCAGATTCAGTTAAATTAATTCTGTTAACTAGACATCTTGTAAACATGTCTCTGTATAGCGAGTCGGGAAAGCAGCTCTTATGAGGAAATAGTGCCAAATGAAAGTGTCAATTTTGTGGCTTCTTGGGGTGCCTGCGGTTTGAGTGCTTTTATTATTATTTCAGCAAGGACGTGTGCCTATAGTCAGCCTGCATGCTGTTGCTAAGATGGGCGTATTTATTCACATCTAATGTGGCGCTAAGGAGCTGCACTTTTGTAGTGACTAGAGGCTCGCTGCGGATTGGAAGGTCATGGGTTCAGCTCCTGGTGATACTGGACTTTAAAAAAAAAAAGTGACCTTGGCTGCCAGGTCCACCCAGCCTTGAGTGGGTACCAGATGGAGTCCTCGGAAGTAAAGGTGACTAGCATGAATGCTGAGCACTCACCCAATAAGTGCTGATTGTTCAATAAATATAGATCTAGCCCTATGTGCCCAATACACCTGAAGGCCTGGAAAAGGGCCCTTTACTTACTTTACCTAATGTGCCACTACAGTAGTCATGAGCTCTAAGTTGGGAGTGTTATGATATTATCATGCCTTGCTTGAGTGCACTGCCTGGACTGTAAGTAACAGCGAACAAGTAGTTTGACAGTCAAAGTGAAGAAAAAGTAGATCTGGCTTATTTGTATGCAGACTGTCGCCTCTCAGGCAGATGCACTTCCACTTTGAAGAAAAACACACCTAATAGTCACCTTGTAGTATGTGCCTGTTAATGGGGGCAGAGGGTCTGTTGTTTTTGTCGCCTAAAACTAGATCCTCGTACCGACACTTTGGAATTTCATGTTTCAGTTTGTACATAGGCCAACATTGCTTTGAGATATTCAGTTAATGTTTATAAAGCTGATTTGTCTAGCTTCACAATCTTCTTCTTCAGCATTCCGAGCCCTTGAGGTTCATTGCTGCTGATATCACCCACCTCCATTCATCTCTCTGATTGGCCTTCTTTTTCCACTTGGTGACACCAAATGTTTGCAGGTCTGTCTGGATATTATCTTTGCATGGTCTTCTTGGTCTCCCTGGTGGTCTACAACCATTCGTCTCCCTGGTGTATACAGTGTTTACTTCTCTGTCATCTGACATTCTTTCAATATTCCACAACCATTTCCGTCTATTAGCTCTCATGATGCCAGTGATCAGTGGTGATTTAAACAGATTATGAATTTCTCCATTCAGAGCTGTTTGCATCTCTGATGGGTCCAAAGATTTGTCGTAAGACTCTGTTTTCGAAAACCTGTAATAAGGCTTCATCTCTTTTAGTTGTGCTCCAAATTTCAGAGCCATATAAAACGACTGGTCTTATCAACGTTTTATATATTTTGATCTTGGTGTTGCGAGACAGACACTTTGACTTTAGCAGATGTTGAAGGGCATAGTATACTTTATTTCCAGATTAGCTTCACAATCTATGTGAAATTTTTTTATTTTATTTCGCGGATATAATATGTTTCATTGTTTTTTTCTTTGTAGCATCAAAACAGCATGAGCAAATTCAAGTTGAACCTAATTCCATAGGCCATTCATATGACTCCCTCTTTGGTCGTTATCTGACCAACTTTGTGACAGTGGTTGAAGTGGAAGACCCATACATTCGGTCTCACCATCAGGTCAGTTCATTAACTATAGTTTATAAATAAAGCTAGTACTGCTAATTGGATTTGAAACATGATAGAGGTCACATCATTTGGGTCTCAGAATTTCAAGGGATATACACACATAATTATAATATTTCAAGCAAACAATTACCAAATCTCTGTTAGTAAAATCCCATTTCAAACTTTTTCAAACTCTCCTGTGTGTGCAGTTACCTTCATATTTGTTCCAAGGCATGCAGGCATTGTTGGTCATGCAAGAGCTGATAGACTGGCAGGTGCTGCATTAATTGAAGATGGCCGGCCCATGGATCACGCAGGCATTTTCATTGCCCTTAGAGAGATAGGACGTTCTTAGATTTTGGAAGCATCACTGTTGAGAATATGCAAATTGGGAGTAAAGATCGGCACTATTAACCGCACAACGCTGATGAATATGTTGAGAGGGAAATCTGAGCACCTATGGACATGTCTATAGTGTTGTGATGATAATCTAACTCATAACCCATTTCAAGAGATGGAATCATACACCTATTTAGACAATGTTGTAGATAAAGGAGAGCTAGAACAGATTTAAAGTTAATAATGAAGCCAAGAAGAACTTTCCTAGTATTAGGAAATGTGAAAGTCACAAGAAATGAAACCTTTGGAAAGACTCAAAAATATTAACAAATCCATCACCCAAGCGCAAGACAAATACAACACTGTGCTACAGCCTGGTATCAGTGAGAAGGCAATAGATGAATAAGAAGTAGTCAGAGCAGATTTAAAACAAAAATTAATTGACCTGAGCTTCAGTGTCAGACCAGCATAAAATGGGTACCTGGAGTTATGATGGGAAGTAAAGGCAGCCAGCATGATGATGACCACATCACCAATCAAGCATAGATTCATCTATAATAAAATACGAGGACAGAGAGGATCAACTTCATTGTATCAGGTTTGATCAAATATGACTCAGTCTGACTCTGCAGAATGAGTAGAAACCTGCAGAGTGTCCTGCAAAGCAGGAACTCTTTAGCTCCAGCGACGATCCCCAGGGAACTTTATAAACTGACACATTCTGTGAAGTGAACCAACAACCTTCAGGGCAGAGGTAGACAGCTTGACCACTTTGTCACAAAACCCCTCCCCTTCTTCCCCCGCTAAACCTCAAGATATGAAACCAATCTTTCTTTGACTTATTGTTGTAAATTTTGCTTGATTTTTTTCTGTTTTGTCTTTCGTTCAGATTCAAAACTTTCTTAGACTTTGTGAGCTGGTTGTCAGACGAAAATGTCCAGTAAAGCGTATTGTTTTAACTACAGGCAGAGATGATGTAAGTGTCTGTATGTGTACGTGTGATAACTATAAATACTGCTTGGGTTAGAGGTTCTGCCTATTTGGTTTCTATTTAGAGAGAGTTGTAGCAGTTGAGATGTATAGGGGTAGCATAATCATCATTATTTGCCATGCCAGTCACCCAGCTAATTAATGTTTGCACGTTCTCATGGTAACCAGGGTCTCAACTTAGGTCTGGTTCAGGGCCAAGTTATGCCAATTGGCCAAGTTATGTAAGAGTTTCTCTCTTTGTATTCTTCTTTCTTCATGAGGTTTGCTGGTTGTCACAAAATTATTGAGATTTGTTCTTTTCATAGCATGCACACAAAAATTTAACTTTACCTGTAATTTCTCTAACCAGTTAACTCTTTTTCAGGTCAATTGGGTCATGAAACCCTGTGAACTCCTGGTAGGCAAAAGTCCTTCTAAAAATAAACTATATTACATAGGTCACAAAAATTTTTTGTGTGGAAAGGGGGGGATATATAAAGATAAAGGGGTAATTTATCCTTTTGTTCATGTCAACTGCTGTAGACTCTTACAGAAAATTCTGGTTGTTCACCCTCTTTTGGGCTTTAGTCTGGTTCTAGAACTTGAGTCTTGCGTGCACATGCGTTTTACAGATCTGGCTTCATTATATGCAAACTGCTAGTTCCTTGCCTATCAGGTAGATGCACTCGATATAGATGGAAACCCCTAATTAATCGACTCTTATAACTTGCTTGATAGGGAGGTAGGGGTCTACTCTTTTTCTCCCCAGAATGGTGTACCGGAACCCACACAGGAATAAAGGGATAATCAGTAAACATGAACAGAGTGAAGCATTAAATTAAACTTTCTTTGGGGCCTAAAAAAACCAGTGTGCATCGGGTGACTAATGTCATGACCTCATAACCCCTATCACTGAAGTTTATGGGAAAATGTTACATCAACTTAAAAAAAGCCATTGGGATCATAAGGAAACCCCCTTAAATGCTATTTTTTGTTGCTATATTCATATCCTTTCCTATTAAACTCTGTACTATTGCATATAGAAGCAGTGAAATATAACTATGTTTTTCTAGAACAGGTCACTGCAAATATGACGATATATCAACATTTATGGTACTGTGTCACAGGCTAGACTTAGTCTTCTCGAGACAGAAGAAGTTAAAGTAACAATTATAGAAGAGTGAGTCAGCTGCCTCGAGAAGGGGCGCCATGGAAAAATTGTAATTTAAAAAAGGAGCCGCAACCAAGAAATGTTTGGGAAACACTGCTATAAGCATGCCGGTCCTATTTTCAGCAGCTAGTGCAGAGTTCAAATTCTGATGGCAACAGTAGAAATTTAAGTGTGTGTCCATGCCTTTCCTCTGATTTTAGAGTGTTTGCCAGATCCCCTGGTCACTCCCTGATGCAGGATTCTCTTCAAACTGTGATGATCTATGTGTGCCTCCTTGATGCTTCTTGCTCCTACAGGCACATTGTCAACATAAATGCTGTTAATTGCTTCCTTCTTGCAGGATGTCAGCAGCCAGCAACAGCAGCAACAAAAACTGCTCAGTATTGGACGGTCACTGCAGACCTGCGGGATACAGCTACACATCAATTATTCAAATACACTTCATGACAGAGAAATCAGGTGATTACATCATGTAATGGTCATTTTGCAGGACATCACTCATTGTTATCTTGTTTCTTAGTCTAATCTTCTTCTTTTTTTCTTCTTCTTCTTAGTGTTCACTAGCTGTAAATTCCACCAGAAAGTTCTGGTTATTCGCCAACTTCTGGATCTTAGTCGTGTTCCAAAACTTGAATTTTGTGTACCCATCCATTTTACATATCTGATTAATTGTATGCAGACTGTTGGTTTCTCGCCTTTCAGGCAGGTGTACTTCAACACAGGAGAAGATTTTCATGTTTAAATTAGCGGAGTTATTATCATCATCATGAAATAGGTATTTTGCAGAACACCATTAATTGTTATTTTGTTTCATTATCAAAAGAATTCCGTACCAGGAAACTCCACAGCATGTTTGTTGGGGGCTACTTATGTCATAAATGTTTCTGAACTCGTTATTCCACATCCAGTTGTTAATAGAGCAAAGCATTGAACTGAACTCACCATTTTACATTGCATTTATAGATTATGAAAAAGTATTTGACAGCATTGATAGGGAATCTGTCTGGAAATTGATGGGGCACCATTGAATCCCACAGAAAATTATTAACTTTGTTTTGGTAACATATAAAGACATGAAATGTCGAGTTCTTCATGAGGGAAAGCTAAACAGATACATTTGAAATAAAAATAGGTGTGCAACAGGGTTGACTTTTGTCGCCTCTCTTATTTTTACTGACTATAGACTGGATTATGAAAGCAGTAACTGCTAACACCTAGAATGGAATTTAGTGGACCCCTACAAAACAGCTGATGATCTGAAGTTAGCTGATGATGTTTCTCTTGTGTCCCATTCAGGGAATCAGATGCAAGATAAATTAAATATACTTAGTGAGAGATCACAGCAGCTAGGTCTGAAAATCCATAAAGGAAAGACAAAGATAATGAGAATAAATCAGGCAAATAGTAATATGGTTTCTCTTAATAGCACCCCACTCAAGACATGGAGTCGTACACCTATTTGGGTAATAAATTAGATAAAGATAGAGGAACTGAGAGAAATATTAAAATAAGAATACAAAAGGCAAGAGGAGCTTTCATAGCATTAAGGAATTTGTGTAGGTCAAAAGAAATTAAAAGAAATACTAAACATATAATTTTTAATTCTAATGTCAAATCAGTACTTTTGTATGGGGCGGAAACATGGAGAAAAACTGAGGTAATTCACAACAGACATTCATTAACTGGTGCCTGCGCAGAATAGAGGGAATTAAATGGTATGATAGAATAGCTAATGTAGAGCTTTTGGAGAGAACTAAACAGGCTCCAGTGGACCAAGAGGTGAGGAAAAGATGCTGGCTTTGGATACGACACACACTGAGAAAACAGAACAGCATAACTAAAATGTCTTTGCATTGGAACCTGCAGGGGCATAGGAATAAAGGAAGGCCAAAAAACACATGTAGAAGAGTGCTGGAGAATGAAGTTAGAAAAATGGGAAGGACATGGGGAGAGCTCCATGTAATGGCGAAGGATAGAATGACTTGGCGGGAATTGGTTGAGGGCCTATGCTCCATTGGGGGATAGAAAGGCAGAAGAAGAAGTTGTTACACTGACTCACTCTTCTATAATTGTTACTTTAACTTCTTCTGTCTTCTTCTGCTTTGTTCACCTCCAACAAGATAGTTGGCATGTTGTGTTGTGGTTTACAGCTAGGCTGCAATATCTGCACCTTTTGGCCCAACACCAAACTCTAATTGGTCACCATTTACAGCATGTTTGTCAGGAGGGACAGTGGAACCATTTATTCCTCTCAGAAATGGGGTCCTAAAATCCATACAGGAAACACTTTTTAGTCTAAAGACTCCTCTTGAGTTGAAACAACAACACTGTCAGATGGAAGCAGATAGAGACTGTTTCTCTCTGATATAATTTTTTTTTTTTTCACTTCTCATCACCAAACATTTAGTTAAAATAAAACTTTCTGGGAAAGAGCAACTTAAATAATATCTGCCTTGTACCAAAGGGATTGGGAGCCGCCAGGGTGTAGAGGCTAGATGCTTGCCTACTGGCTCGAGGGTTGTAGGTTCAGTTCTGCATCGAGTCTGATTTTTTCAAATATGTCTTTGACTCCTGAGTCAACCCAGCTATAAAACTGGTACCAGGTGGTTCCCTGGGAGTTAAAGGTGGCCGAGGTAGTGAAGACTACATCCCCCACCCAGTGCCAGTTGATGTACAGAAATAGTCTAGCATCTCATATCCCATGAGCCACTGGCCTTAAAAAAAAGTGTCCTTACTTATGTGACTCGCTGAAAGAGTTGAAACGGCCATGTTTTAAAATTATCCCTGACACAGCACTACCTCAGCTGCAGTGGTGCAATATGGTCTTAAGTTATGAGAGTAGGAAAAAGATGTGCAGATTTTCACACGACAATAGCATACCATTAACAAAAAAAAATTTTATATTTCAAATCTGTGGTAATATACAGTTCATTTTTAACAATTTCATGTTATATTTTACATATGTGGTAATGAAGTATAATTTTTTACATCTCTTTATGTTATATTGTACATAATGAAGTATAATTCTTTTAAATCTCTTCATGTTATATTGTATATAATGAAGTATATTTTTTTTAAATCTCCTTATTTTAAATTGTACATAATGAAGTATAATTTCTTTTAAATCTCCTTATTTTAAATTGTACATAATGAAGTATAATTTCTTTTAAATCTCCTTATTTTAAATTGTACATAATGAAGTATAATTTCTTTTAAATCTCCTTATGTTATATTGTACATCTTGTGATACTATGCCAAATAATTGTTTTTATCAGTGTTTGATTATATTGTAAATATGTGATAATACACTGTATAATTCTGTTATATTTCATGTCATATTTTAATGCTTTGATAATAAACTGTACATTTTTTGTTTAAATCATCCTTTTAGATTCTCTTTTAAAGTCTGGTAATGTAAAGTATAAATTTATTACAATTTACACTGTATGAGTTCCTTGTTTGGGGGTGGGGGGGGGGGGGGGTGTAAACCCACTGATCCCTGGGCGGTGGTGAAAACCCAAAGACCCTTGGAGGGGTGTAAACCCACTGACCCCTAACAAGCAACATTGTAAAAGACAACGAATTAGTAGTTTGCTGAAATTGGTTGTGTTGAGCCAAAAGGGGCAAATAACTCCGGCTTTCTGTAATCCCATTGCATCGACCCAGCTGCCCATTTAAGAGCGAATGCAGAAGAAGAAGAATTATCATTTATCGTTATATTTTTAAGCTGAAAAAATTTGCTGCGTAATCTTATCATCATTTCAGATTCAGGTTTAAAGCTGAGGCAGTCTGCTGTTTACATTTAGTATCATTTCACATTATTTCTGTAAAGATGAGATATTTTACTGTGTATCCTTATTGTCATTTCAGGTTGGACACTGGATGGGTGATAAAGATTGGCAGAGGTCTTGATATTTACAAAAGCTGTGATAAGTTTGCCATAGGTTTCTGTGATCTTGAACTCCGACCTTGCCATGAAACTACTATTGATATATTCCATAGAAGCTCCATGAAAATGTCTTCCAGCAAATCGTAGCTCACATCAGAAGAGGGCAGTCCACATTCTCAAGAGCTGTTCCTGACATACGTAGGTGATTTATGGACAGTCATAAGATCCGTAGGAAATTATCTGAAAGCTGCAGATATGTGGTTTGTAGAAGAATGATGAGAACCCTGTGGACAGACAAAAAGTGTAATAAGGAAGTTTGGAAAGAAGGTAACTCTTTCAAAACCAAGCGAGCAAGTAATGCACCAATGCAGATAAGAAGAAGCATGGACAAAGCTGATATCATCAACACTGTCTGACGCTAACACGACTGTGCGACTGAGGAGTTGAGATTGATCAAGCATGACTGCGCCCTCTTCGAGGTAACGACAGGAGATATTATAACCAACTCCTCATGGGAACATTCAGTGGTACCTTGGAGTGGCTGCTGCATCGGAGGACTGAGCATGCATGGGGATGCCCAATGTACAAAGACACCAATTGTGATAACATAACAAAACATCTTTCACTACCAGAAGATCATAGCTGATGCCCAAGTGCAGCGTAATGACAATAACAAAATCACCGGTGTACTACTCCCACAAGGACCAAATAAACACTGCTTGTAAAAAGTAAACCAAGTACATTGCTGGAGTGCTCTCCTATGCTCTAACTCCAGGCCATTCATCTGGTGGCCCACAGTCCAATTCTGGCTAGTGGAGTCCTAGCAAGCCCAGGGATCATTGCTAATTGTATCCTATAAATGATCGTTCTATTCTTGGGCTTAGGCCTCTGGCCCTTGACGATCCCATCTCAACATTTTGGCCCCTGAGTAAACTTATTTAAATAGTCCTGCCCTTAATGTGCTATGTGGGTCCATCACAAAGGTCTCGGGAGTCAGATCAGCACTGAGTCCAATTTTTTTAAATCAGAAATGATCTCGGGTGCCAAATTAAGTCCTGGGAAGTAAAGGTGCCCAGTATGGTGGTGATTACCTCATCTATCTAGGTCTGATTTATCTAACATCATATGCCCAATGCGCCAATGGTGTGAAAAGGGTCCTTAGCGTACTAACTGAATATACTATGTATAAGGATACAAAATACATTGATTGGTATGCATGAGTAGTGTGGTGTGTTGGCTGGGAGTTAAGGCATAAAGAGAACTGGTTACTGACATCAGAAGGAGACTGTCCAGATTCTTTGATTTTGCCAGAAGAAGCAGAAAATATGAGTATTTTGAGATGACAGGAATGATGGAGGGGGAGATAAAGAGAGAGGATATTAGACAGTTGAGATGTGACGTTGTGATTTCCGTCACAGGCATGAGAGAAAGTTAAGACCATTGTAAGGTGTACAAAGGGATACTCCATATCTCACTTTGGGCACGAGCAGGCTCTGCGCTAGTTTTAAAGAACCCTATGCAAGACTTTCACACATCCATGTTGTACCCCACGGATAATGGTCGATTACGGTATAAACTGAGCTGGCAGGGGATATCAAAGTTAGTGGCCCCTAGAGTTGCAGTCTCTAGAAGCAGAAAGCCTATGGCACTCATCAGTCTGCCTCCAGTGTATGAGGGAAAATGTCTATTCCAGTGTTTCTCAAACTTTTCTTAGTCGCGCCTCTTTTTTTTATTAAAATTGTCCACAGCGCCCTAAGTAAAAGTGTGACTATTCGTATTTAAGCGATAAAAAAAAAATGCGTATCTTCAAATATTTTGCCCTGTGAAGAGGTTGCGGCTCCCCGGGGTACTGCGACGCACAGTTTGGGAATCACTGGTCTATTCAAAGACTCATTGGGAAAATAAGTTTTTAAGTTCACTGGTTCTGATACTCACTAAATGGCTAATTTTGGTTCAAATCTGTCTTGATTGATTGAGAATCTTACTGAATCACAAATATAATTCAAATATCCATCAAGTGAATATCATACTGGCTGGTAATACATAAGACACATTCAAGTGTTGGTTACCAAAGACTTTACTCATCAAAGTGTTGTGACCAGAAGAGACTGGCATGCCTGAAACATGCTTTGCAAAATGATTCTTTCTATATTAATACTGCCTTGCAGCACTCAGGAACATTCTAAGGATAGTGTTTTTTTGAAGGTCATAAAACACTGTGGTCTACAGACTGCTTTGTGCCAATCTCCAAAGACAGAGCTTGTGTTGAGTGGTAGGCTCAATATACCGAAGTGAGGTTAAGCAGGCATGTGTAGGACCTGATTGATCGTACCAGAGCACACCATGGGATAATTCTATGGGTGGGCCCAGTACCGGAGCACACCATGGGATAATTCTATGGGTGGGCCCAGTACCGGAGCACACCATGGGATAATTCTATGGGTGGGCCCAGTACCGGAGCACACCATGGGATAATTCTATGGGTGGGCCCAGTACCGGAGCACACCATGTATTTTCATTTATGGAAGCCTCCATGGATGGTAGAGAATACCCATGTTCTGTCCCTACCTTCTCTGGAAGGCTGACCAGAATACATATGGTTGCGCTGTAGACCAGATGGCAAAACAATGAGCTGTTCATTGTCATACAAAGCTAAAACAGGGAAGCCTAATCCAGAACAAAAGTGTGCCCGATGTAGTCAAACTTCAGTTTTGCATGTATGTTGCTTTTTTTCCAGATCTGGATAATTTTTATGCAGACTGTTGGTTCCTCGCCTCAGGCAGATGCATTTTACCTTTGATGGAAACACTTCTTATAAGTTGGCTTTTACAGCATGCTTGCTAGGGGGCAGTGGATCAGTTCTCACCGCTTTGCTGTAAACCACATCACAATAAGTCAACTGCCCATTTAAGGATGAACACAGGAGGAGAAATTAGTTTTTATGTTTTCTTATGCTTGACATGTATTTGTGCATTATTTATTTTGTAATAATGAACTATGGGGCTTCCATTTGGTGACTCAAATAACTTTTTTTTTTTTTTTTGAGCTGTGTGGCATTGGTTATATTATGTCAGATATCAAGCTGACACGAAACAAAACTGATACTGAATGTTGTACCAGGTTATCCCATATTGCTCGGTCTCTCTATGCCAAATGGCCATTTGCTTGCCAAAAGTTGCATAAAACACAATTTCTGCGGCTCCAGTGACAGTCCCTAAAGGCAGAATAGAAATAGTGTACAGAATAGAAACATTAGCAATTTGGCCGTGCAGCAAAGTGGAGAAACACTTCTTATAAGTTGGCTTTTACAGCATGCTTGCTAGGGGGCAGTGGATCAGTTCTCACCGCTTTGCTGTAAACCACATCACAATAAGTCAACTGCCCATTTAAGGATGAACACAGGAGGAGAAATTAGTTTTTATGTTTTCTTATGCTTGACATGTATTTGTGCATTATTTATTTTGTAATAATGAACTATGGGGCTTCCATTTGGTGACTCAAATAACTTTTTTTTTTTTTTTTGAGCTGTGTGGCATTGGTTATATTATGTCAGATATCAAGCTGACACGAAACAAAACTGATACTGAATGTTGTACCAGGTTATCCCATATTGCTCGGTCTCTCTATGCCAAATGGCCATTTGCTTGCCAAAAGTTGCATAAAACACAATTTCTGCGGCTCCAGTGACAGTCCCTAAAGGCAGAATAGAAATAGTGTACAGAATAGAAACATTAGCAATTTGGCCGTGCAGCAAAGTGGAGAAGACTAGAGAACTTCCCTATGTGAGTTCTGGGAAAGAGGTTTGAGAATAAGACCACACTGGAGATTTAGGGAAGAATAGACCCACTGCCTCCCTAACAAGCTTGTCAAAAGAGTTGGCAAATTAGGGGCATCTTTTGAAGTCGGAGTGCATCTGCCTGAGAGGCAAACAAACAAGCCAGATGTGTAAAATGGGTGTGCACACAAAAGTCAAGCTCTGGAACAAGACCGAAGTTTAGAAGTGGGTGAACAACCAGAACTTTCCGCCAGAGTTTACAGCTTGTGAAAGCAAAGAAGAGAAGAATAGAAAATTAGATACACTGTATTGGCTGGGCAACAAATCAAAAGAAGTTTGAGAACTGATGGAAAAGAAACTTATCTCCTCTTCATGTCACTGTTGAAACATACAGCGTTCACAAATGATCTCCATTGCAACCGGTCTGCCGCTATTTTGCCCATGTTGTCCCATATCATTTTACATTTCTTCATTTCTCTTTCTACTATCCTTCTTCAGGTTTCCTTATGTCATCCAAAAATCCCTTTTCCATCTGTTCTAGAGAGCTATCATCGCCAAAGTGTCATGAGGCATTCTGCAGACATGTTCAAGCCATTTATATCTTCTTCCGTTGATAACATTAACGAGTGATAAACACTGATTTTCTCCACAATTTTCAATTTGTTATCTTGTCTAGCCAAAAGATTTTGAAAATTGTCCTACCCATGTGAGTTCCAGAACCTAGTTTTCGGAAAATAAATAGACCCACTGTTGCTTCAACCCCCCCCCCCCCCCCCCCCAACCCTTATTGTGAAACGTGATTGATTAGGGGTGTCTACCCAACAGGTAAAACGGAAAGGCTGCAAAACTCAGATTCTGAAACAAGGGTAAAGATCAGAAGAGGACGAAAAGCATAAACTCAGCAACAGAGTTTACAGCGGATGAACGTAAGAAAAAGAAAAAGGATTCTTTTTACAAAAAGTATTTTGAAAAGTCTCTTGTTTATGTCAAATTTTCCAGCACTCTTTGCTGTATAGTAGTATTCTCAAAGTGTTAGGGTTGTACATTATGAATGATGGAATAACACTAAGTGAAAATATTCGCTTTAACAAAATTAAGATGGAAGGGAATAGGAGAAAGAGATTACACAAATATTGTGTTCATACATACTCCAGAGTGGATCAGACCAAAAATGAGATGTTTTTTACTCATGCATCGGGGTGGGTTAACAAGAGCCGCAGGATTTCAGTGTACTGCATCTCTGGAGGCCACCAACTCCGAGATCCCCAGCCAGCGCAGTTTAGCCTCATGTCAGCCATCATCCGTGGTGCACGACGGGAACCACGAACTATGGTTTGGAAACCCACCGATTCGATAAAAGAAGTAGAGATAC